CGTGAAACATTTCATAGGGCCAGGCACTAGTGAACATCAGAACTCGCGTGCTCTGGGTGTCACTTAATTCCTCCATCAGCCTGTGGTTCTATCACGCGGCGATTTAACGGACAAGGAAATGGAGGTCCGCGACGTCAACGAGCTGGCCAAACACCCCGAGTCAGCCCTGAGCGACTGCACACCTCACTGAGAGTTCAGCTTTCAAACTCCATCAGGCAATGCCATCTGAGGAGCCGCACTTCGGGAACCAACGCCTTGCCGCTCAAACTGGACCACTGGCGTCACCCGGGATCGGGTGCCCCTGTCCAGACAGACCGAATCTGAGCCTACGATCTGGGAAGCCCCCAGCGACACAGGCGTCGGTGTGAGGGGCCCCGCGCAGAGCGGGCACACATGGCACGGGGGCAGACCATGCAGCTCAGACACACGCCCGCGACCCGCGCGCATCTCTGCTGCTCGCTCTCCGATCCCAAAACAAAGGCAGACAAGTGCGGGCAGGCCACTCCCCAGGGGGCAGGAGAGAGGAAGTGACCAGCCCGCATCTGTGGCCCTGACCTTTCCGCAACTGCTACCCTCAGTCCTCTGTGATAGCCGGCGCCACTTACTGCCGTGGGTGGGCCTTCCTCCTGGGGTGACAGATGGCAGTCACCATGCCCAAGGGGCTAGAAATGTGCCCAGCAGGAGCCGGGCCCACCCGCGGCGCGGTGCGCTGGCAGACCGGACATGTCCTCCAAAGACGGAGTTCAGAGAGCTACAGAGACAGGTTCCAACACACGCCTAACGACAACAGCAACCCTGACCCATGAGCAGGATCCGGTTTTCCTCTCATGACATTTTCCTAAATCTGCAACACAAGAATCGAATTTCAGGCGCAGTGCGCCAGCCTCCGCACGTTCCCACCAACGCCTCTCTTGGCCGTGCGTTTCTTCTGCCTAGAACACTCCCCCCGCACCAGGCTGATGCCGACTGAGCCCGCAACAGTGGGGGCGCAGCCCCCGCAAGCCCCGCCGGGCACCCTGCAGCTCTGCAAAGCACTTGTAACGTGCCACCACAACTGCCTGTTTACCGTGACCTCCGCGGGCAGGGGTTCAGATCAGCCCAGTGACTGTCCTCACCACGTCCCAGTTAAATGCGCAGATACGTGTAAGTCAAACGTCAGAACAGAATAGGGTGTTTCCTACTCAGTGCGCACAGCTCCCCACTTCCCCACCGACCCGTCTGAGCCCACATGGCCCTTCGCGGTGGCTTCACGACACACGCGATAAAGGGCTCGTCCGTTGTAGCTACCGGCAGATTTCTGGAAAAGTCTAACTTTAAGCAACAAGGACGCCTGTGTCTGTGGCTCTCCAGCACCCACGGCTCACGGCCCACGGCCAGTCCCTGAGGAGGTTCTCGGGGTCCGGCCAGTGCTGTCCAGTAGGCTTTCCTGTAGCGGTGACAATGCTCTCTGTCTGCACTGTCCCACATGGCAGCCACCAGCCACACATGGCAGCTGAGCACTTGAAATGGGGCTGGTGTGACTGTCGAATGGAACTTTTAATTTAATTTTAGCTTAACAGCCACCTGTGGCTAGCGGCCACCACAGGAGACAGCAGGTCCAAGTCTAGACTCTCGACACGGAGTGAAATAAAAACTTTTCCGTGGTTCCCAACCGCAGGCTGCTATTCACGCCAACCCTCCCCTTGAAAAAGGCTAAAAAAGCTGGACAGGATCCTTTAAAAATATTAAAAGCAACTGGGCAGTGACAAGACAATAAGGAAACGCCAGGCCAAAGTCAAAGCGAAATCAGGAGCCAGGAAATACACGAGCGCAGAAGCCACCTTTGCCCTGAGCTCACTTGCCAATCCTGACATTTTCAACTTCCTTTTTCACAAGAGGACATGGAAAGAGGGACGAGAATCAAAAGCTGGGTCCCACAAAGTGTCTGCAATAAGAGCACCCCAAAGGCTACGCAGCTCGGGGTGAGAGTAAGCCAGAAGCGAACCACCTCTCTAGCAGACTTACAGCTCTAGATGGTCTAAAGAACCTGGGTTTAAGGCGATCCCAGACTGGTTGAAGCAAAAACAAATGCTCTCTGAAGGGAGCTACCTTCATGCCAGGTTTCAAGAGTCCTACAAATAACTTGGATCCATATGCTACAACCTTAAATGAAAATGATCTCAAAATGAATCCTAGACCTAAACGTAAAATCTAAAACTACAAAACTTCTAGAGGGAGAAAAAAAATGGAAGAAAACCTTTGTGACCTAGGATTAGGCAAAGGTTTCCTAAATATGACAACAAAAAAGCACAATCCATAAAACAACAAGTGGATAAATGGGACATCGTCAAAATGTGTAACTTCTGCCCTTGAGGACAATGAAGAGAATGAAAAAACCAACCACAGCACAAGAGAGACGCGCAACTCACATGTGACCAACAGAAAAGTATTTATCCAGAATGAAGAGCCCATGAGAAAAAAATGTTTAATGAGCAAAACATGTGAACACCAAAGAAGATATATGGATGTCAAAAAGCATATGAAAAGATACTCAACATCACTGGGCATTTGGGAAATATAAATTAAAACCACAATCAAATGCCATTAGACATCTATTATAAAAGACTAACCACGCCAAGCGTTGGCTCAACGAGAACGCTCGTTCGCTGCTGGTGGGAATGCACAACGGCATAGCCGCTCCAGAACAATCTGGCGCTTTCTTAAAAAGCTAAACAAACACCTACCACAGGACCCGGCCGCTGGAGATCTAGACCCAGCTGTTCTCAAGAGAAACGAAAAACCTACATCCACACAAAGACTTGCACAAAAATATCCATACGCTTTATTTGCGATAAGCCAAGACTAGAAACAATTCTCCATACATTAAACTATACATTCATTGTCATCCCAAACAACATCCAGAAGAATTTTCGTGGAAGCTGACAAGTGATTCTCACACATGTATAGATCTGCAAAGGTCAAGGACAGCCAAGTACACTTGAAGAACCAAGTGGGAAGAGTACCACGGTGAGATGAGGCTCATTATCAAGCTGCCGTAATTCAGGCAGCTTAGTACCAGCGGAACTGAACAGAGTGCAGAACAGATGCGCGGATTACAGACCGCTCGCTCACGACAAGGGGGCACCGCAGAGCACGGGGAAATAAAAAACTTCTCAGTATACAAAAGCACCAACTCAGAAGGAAAAGACGGATAAACTACACTACGCGAAACTTAAAAACTTCTACTCACAAAACAAAACAAAACAGAACAGAACAGACCACTGAGTCAGTGAAACTGCACATGACAAAGTGGGAAGAGACAGAGGCAAAATATATAACCAACAAAGGATTTATGTTCTGAATATATAAACAAGTCTACAAATCAATTGTTAAAAACGTAATAGAAAAATATGCGCACTTTGTGAAACAGTGAATGGCCAAATGTCAGTAAATATATAAAAAGACGTGCAACCTCATTATAACCAGGAAAAGGCTATTCGAAACCACGAAGCAGTAGTACTACAGAAACCACCAGAAGGCATGGGCAGGAGAGACCCAGGAGACCGGACAGGGGCTGAAGAAAGAACCAGAGGGAAGACGGGCTGCTGGCCGGAGCCTAATGGTTCAGTGAGGGGCAGCGGGGAATCACTTACTGGCCCTTTGCTGAGAAGCCACTCTGGGCCAGGCACCCCGACACATTGAACGGGGGTCACAGCCTACCTGGCTCTAAACTATAATTTTAACTGCACCTGACCAATTTTAGGGAGAAAGACACTGTTCAGATGGCACTTTCCCACCAGCTCACAGAGCTGCGCAGCTGACTGGAAGTTGGGTCACGGGGCGAGGGAGGGGGAGCCAAGCTGGGGGGGTCACGTGGCAACATCCTTTTCACCACTTGCCGATTACACCTGATTCCATCCGTCAACCCCTCCGTTCCTCTCTACCTTAGTAACAACTTTCACGTGGTTCTAGACCCCTGACCACACGGCTGCACAACGGTCACTGATGTTAGTCTTGGTACTGAGTCTCTTCAGGACCTGGCAGGAGAGTAAACAAACTGGGGACTCCCCTCCCACCCTCGTGGTGTAAGGAAACTGTGCGGGACCGAAAGATATGCAAAGGACGATGCAGAAGCCTTGTCCCCAAGCTCACAATATTCGATCTGCCGATAGGTGCATCTAATTCAGCATAAGACATAGAGATATGAGGCACATCACCGACCCGCCTTTGTACACTGTGTAACTTCTATTTAGCCTTTTTTTTAGAAAAAAGGGGCAAAAGGCAAAACAAAATGTATTTAAGTTACATATGAACTGAATGCTAGGCAGAGAATCGATTCACACAATACTGTTTCATTGGTCACCCCAAGACGTGGCAATCACCCTAACGTTAGTATAAGCTAGCCAGTTTTCAGCACTAAAACAAAGCCCTGGGGGCCGTGTGCCTTCGGCACGCACATGCACACTCTCTATCTGCCAAAAGTCTCACGTCCCAAAATCATACCAACTGTTTGGACGTAAAATTCTTCATTTAATGTCCAACCCAAGATTCAGAAAAATTAAGCGGTCTCAGAATAAAACGTTCAAAGTACCTCGGCAAAAGTAACTGCTAAAAAAACACGTCAGAGTCCCCAAGTGGAGGCGAATCTCATTAGCGAATCTAAGTGGCCACGCGTGCTGCCATCTATAGCTGAGCCATGCCCGCTACGACTTGCATTTTAAAGCGCTCTAAAGCAGTGGTCTGCGGACGTCAGCGGGCATGGAAAGCCCCTGGACAGCTCGCTAGGACCGCCTGCTGGCCCCACCCCACAGTCTAGGTCAGGTGCGGGGTGGGGCTCTAGCATTTCTCAGTTCTGGGGGTGGTGATGCTGCGCCCCGGTAACTACACTGAGAACCGCTGCAGCCAACCTGAATCGTGTGTGTGTGTGCGCGCGCGTGTGCACCCTCAGTGTATAACACTAAGGAGGACCTTGCTCAGGAAGAGCAAACAGCTCTTTTTACCCAAATGTTGACTTTCCTTACCTAAGTAAAGGTAAGCGACCTGTCACTCTCGAGACGTCTTATCTGCATGACAGCATGACAGCAAAGGACTGCGCAGCAGGTCAAGGGAAAGCTACACACTGCGTAACCGGCACTGCAGTCTGAGAAGATGGCTTTTTAAAAACACGGTTTCAGGGCGCAATGCAAAGCCGTGTGGTGCACCCAGTGGGTCCAGCTGATTGATCAGTAAGACACGTGAGAGCTTCTAGGCCAGTCATCAAGGACCTTCTGTATACCCCACTCATTTAGTGTCACCTTGGGCAACTGTCAGTCTTCAGAACTTAAGTCCTATGAACACGGGGTCAATATCTAGAAAAAAAGAACATTTTGAAATTGTGAAGGGCAGAGCAGTACTTTTTCCTGGCCCAATTGTGATAATACCAGCAATCTAAAATAAAGCAGACGACAGTAAAAACAGATAACCCAAGTTCTTCCCTGGCAGCAAGTCCTAGGAGGTCTCTAAGTGAGGTCCTTTACCCAGGCAAACGAAGCAGCAGCCAGCCTACCAATGCAATGACTGTTCTCCAATGACACGCCTGGGTTCTTTGCATTCCTAAGTATTTACTGTGTCAGACACTGGGGATGCAATGGTGTGTAAAACAAAGTTTTGCCCTCATGGTGCTTAAATTCTCATGAGAAGACACATAATCTACTGAAAATATATAACGCATAAAATCGTTTAAGCTCTTTCTTCAGTCCAGCAAAGCCAAACGCGAGGCACTTTGGTCGCCAGCAGACACAAGCTGCTGGTGTTCACAGGAGAACGCAAACCACTGCATGGCAGGACTTTCAAATACACTGTGAGGGCAGAAGGAGGTCCTGGGCACAGGCACCCCACACACGTCACTTTTTAGGTTCTTCTATGCCTTGGTTTTGGTCCACTGGCCCAAATGAAGAAGAGTATGTCAACCCATAAAGGTAGGATGGAAACGTCTAAATTGGAAAGAATGAGCACATTCATTTCAGAAACTTCTAAAGCGGCAATGTGTTACAGATGATCAATACCAGGGTTACTACACGGGGCATGTACCCTCATGAGAAACGTGCCATTTTTCACCTTAAGTTACTCCTTGCTTCCCACAAAACTACATTCATAAACAAAATTGACCCCAAAAAAGTCATCAATGAAAAAACTCTGTACATGTATAAGTTACTAAAGCACGTCCTTTGACAAAAAGAAGCATCAATCACTATACTACCATGCCTTATACATTTTTAACTAATTCCATATTAATTTAAAATAATTAAACAATTTTGGTACAGTCATTAAAATGTTTACCTACACTACGTTGGCCACATAAGAATTTCATGATCTGAAAGTATCAGACTCAAATAGAAAATATGATGATTTAAGCTTTCCCAGAAACACAGTAATTACGCTTAGACACCATTTCCTCCCGCTTCGGGAGACCGAATTAAGATTTTACAGACTGGCTGGGATCCCTTGGGCCCGGCCAACCAGGATCCGCCACTTTTGGACTGAGAGACCCAGTGCGAGTTCCTCTAACTCTAAACTTGCAGTGTTTCACCTATAAAATGAGACGAATGACTCTACAACTCGACCGTTGTTGGGAGGAATAAAGGAGATGGAACATTAAACATGCAGCTCAGGTCTTGGCACACGGCGTCCAACGCGTGTGACTTACATACAGCACAGAGCCTCTCTGACGTAATCCATCTGTAAACTGTAGTCAACTTACCAACAACACATGTCCTCACACAGGTACCTAGCAATGTTACACTTCTTCCCATCATAATACTCAAAACAGAACATCATTTTTCTTGTTCTGAAAAGTTTATAGTAAATGGCAATGTACATATATAAGATTCAGGTAGGATTATTTTAATTAAATACCAAGTTTGTAAGGAAACACATTCATGCTGTTAAAAATAGGTAAACTTTGGGGTGATACTACTAGTATTTTTCTTTGAGGCTTCCAATGGCCACAGAGTGCGAATGGTACCACTCGGGCAAAAACATTTTTCCTACTTCTGTCTATAAACCATTTCGGTAGTGTTTATGCAAATCAGACTCTTAATTCACAGCATTTGCTAAAAATTCCATTTAAACTGGAAGCTGAACTATATGTGCTTATCTGATTTCCATCAGAGCCTCGTGAAAAAACAATATGATTGTTACAGATAAGAACGGCGGGGGTTCCTCTGCTGCTTTATAATCACAAACTTATTTACGCAGTTCTGAATGGTAAGCTTTGGCACAATTCCTAGAAATTAATGCCAGAAACTGGTAGATATGAATTTCATTTCTCTTGCGTTAGGTTGCCTTTCGGTGGTCATGAAATGAAGGGGGATAAAAAAAACTTTGCCAAAATGCTGGTGGAGAGAAAAAGCAATACAGGGCTCAAATAACCCTACTGAACAGTTTATTGGAGAAGATAAATAACTTCTCAATGCGGCTGGGTGGGCGAAACCCAGGTGCACGCAGCGATGGGCGGCTCTGCTCTCCACCCCTTCCCACTCTGGTAAGCAACTCATCCTTCGAATTCGTAAACTTCCTGGGCTTTGTCACTACTGATTCAAACAAGGTCGTTTACTTTGCCCAATTTTTAAAAATCTGAGTTTTAAATAATGTATACAGGCGTCGTTAAAAAGTCTCAAAGACCTTCACAGCATTTATTTCCTAATCATTAAACAGTAATGAAAATACGTTCTTAAACAAGAGCTTTAAGGCGAAATAAAGTACTATAGGAACTAAACTTTTCTGATTATTTTAGCAAAAAGAAACCTCATTTCACAAATATGATCACAGAATTTTTAATGCTACTGAAATTTAAAACAAGATTTATTCTACGTAAAAATCTGTCTAAAATGAAAATGTTTAATTTCAAAGATTTAAGATTTAAATATTCTATTAACACTTGTACCTTTTCTTACCCTTAAGACAATTTTTATTTTCTCAAAATTAAGACACCTTAAAATACAGGGGAAAAGGTTTCCATAAAATCTTTAGAGATATAAACGAAGATCCTACTTCTCTAACTCAAAATAACATCCAAAGGAAGGATAGTAATTCTCAAAATTATTTTTAATTATAGTATACATATACACACACACACATATAAAATACTCTATAATGATTTCTTCTGCAGGAGCTAATCAATTTTTAAAGGGGCTAGCTTTAACAATACAACTTTATTATTTAGACAATTTCTCCAACTTTCTACCAAGAAAGTTATCTGTCTAGCTGAAGAACCCAGTTTTGAGAACTGGGACATTAAGTTCTGTAATTCCCAGCAATGGGCATGGACTGTTGGAGGCAATTTGTTAAAAATGTCTTAAAGATCCACACTGTTGCTCATAACTTCCGCTTTCCGCAGACACTTCATCACTGCTGCATTCATGGAACTAAACTCCCAGACTAACACTTATTATTCGCTTTCGGTGAACTGCCAGTCTCAAAAGAAGCTTAAGTCACACCTCCTGTAGGAGTCCAGTATTTGCCCAAACCAGAATACTAAGTTTTGGATTCGGTGCCTTTCTTTACCCTAGGACTTGCTAACTGATGCCTATTATATTCGTTCAGTGCCTACATGTACTGAAGTCTTACGTGACTGTGGGCTTCTTTAAAAGGGAACATGTGTTTTAAACGATCTTTTCCAGTGTTCGTTATTAAAATGGGTTATTTGATAATGACCTCAAAGAAATTCTTTGGAGAATTTATAATATCTGATCTTGCCATTTCTGCAGCAGTTAGTACACAAAAGTGTTCCAAAGAGACTAACAGTAGTCCTTCCCCTCCAAGGAGAGCCACAAATACAAAACAATATGCTCATAAAGATACCGAAACACGAACTTCCTTTCAAGTTCCATGTGTTTAGCAGGGTTTTAAAAACTGACTCAATAGTACAACTGGATAAAAATATCTACACTGGACCTCGACAAAAACAAGTTGAACGCTCCTTTACGTACCATTTCATCCACATACTTTCCTCCCACTTTTCAGAGGTTTTCAGAGATGGGAAAACTGACCAGAGTACTCCGCTTAGCTGTGTCATTTCATAGAGGAGACTATTTTCACTACCCGTTTTACAAACAAAAAATTAAGGGTGAGGCTCTGTGTTTCATTTCAAAGAGTAATGGCTTGTCTATTTTTCCAACTATGAAAATATTTACCTTCTAAGTCAAAGTCCCAATGACGGCCGTCTTAAACACAGATCCCCAAACTCTCACATCGCCTTCAGTGTAACCGGATTTCAACCGGTCCCCATAATTACTACAATATTACTATTATCTTAATCGCCCTGCCCGAAACCCAGCTGCAGGCTAACCATGCAAGAATGAGACACTGTTGAAATGGCTCAAAAAAATTTTTTTTACCGTTAGTGCATTAAGCTACAAAATCCTGTAATCACGTCAAACCAAGTAACGCTGACACACACACACGCACACACACGCCCTCCTGATAAAGAATGGGCGACAGGAATGGAAAGAGAGAGAGAGACAGCAAGTAGTTGTCCCACCTAACACTGCGCAGCAGCGGCGCTGGGGGCTGGGACAGAGGAGGAAACTCGGGAGGCACAATGAATCGAAGGGTGTCTCTCGGGCCATCGCCGAGGGGACCACCGGCCCACAGAAAACTTGAGCGGCGGCAGCGGGGAATGGAGCCCACCCCGGGCGCGGGTTCGAGGCTCACCCGCCCGCAGCCCTCGGGGCCCGACCTTCCCCGCCCGCGGGCGGGTGAGTCTCCACTCCGGATCCCCCGGCGTCCCCGCGGATTTCCCTCTTCCTCCTCCTTCCTCTCTCTCCCCTTTGTTTTGGAGGCACTTGGCCCGCTCGGGCGGAGGTCGGCCGTCCTCCCGGAGCCCCCAGCCTCCCTGCATCCCCGGCCTCTCCGTCTGCCCCGAATTCCCGGACCTCCCTGAGCTCGCGGCCGCCCCATGTCCCCCGGCCTCCCCACATCGCTGGCCTCACTGAACCCCGGGCCTCCCCACGGCCCCGGCCTGCCGGAGCCCCCGGCCTCCCCA